CATCTGCAGGTCAGACGGCCGGGGGAGAAGAACCAAGGTCAGTGTTTGAGGTCAGTTGTTTAAGGTGGTTCTTAGGACAATGCGTGGGCTGTCTGTTAACCTGGCAGTGTGAGTAACGGCTGGGAAAAGCAAGAAGCTTCTTCTAACTTGCAAAGGGAGCAGATCAGGTGACGTTTTACAGTTAAACTAGAACAGAGCAGCTAAAATGAACGTTTAGCTGTCAGTCATCTGCAGAAGTATGAAATGGTTCGTATTTAAATAGGACTTATTTTTCCCAGTGTTTAATCTCAAGCCTTTGGCTTTCTAGCTCATCTTTAACCTGATAGCTTTGGGACAGCAGGCTGAACAGTCCCGGCAGTGATTTAAGATTTAGATAGTTACTTAATTTACAGAAAGAGCCTGTTGCCCAGGATACCAAGGTAGTCCACAAACTTCACAAAGAGTAACTGGGGCACGCGGGCATCCAGAACCTGGCAGCGAGGTTGGAGTTCGTAAATAGCAGTTCTCCATTTTAACGAATTAATGGGTTTCCTTCTCAGAACTGAAGATTTCTCACATTCCTGACCAATCTATATCAGGAAGAATGCAGGGGCTTTTTTATTTTATTTTTTTTGTTTGCCAAGGAATTATCTAGTTGTTTATTAACTTCTCTGATAAAAACACTTCTCTGTACCTTGATACTAGAGCTTGAGGTTTCCACTCAAGGAACCATCAAAGAAAAACTTTGAATAAATTCTGATGTCTGAGGAAGGCACACACTACGCAAAGCTTATAATTCTGCAGGGAAAGTGAACCGATCTGCATTTTCTGTTAGACTGTGTGTTTTCAGCGAGCGGCTTAAGAGCAACATGTCTGGCATTTGGCAGTAACAAGGGTTGCAGTCTTCTACCACTGCTAAGGACCAAGGATTGTTTTGCTGACCATCTGCCTCTGATTTATCAATCCAAAATTATCTCAAAGCGAAGATTACTATAACACAGAGGGGAATGTTCTCTGCACCCCATTAATACAGCTTTTTCTCCCTTTTAGAGCACTTAAGAAACTGTCTCTCCTTTTTCCTTGCTCTCTCATACTGTGGGGGGAAGCTAATCTCTGCTAAAATGTATGGCTGAAAGCTAGGAGTTTATAATTTTGGATTCTGCCACGTGAAAAGCACTTCTATATGAGAAAAGCATTACTTGACTCCCCAGCATTCCAGTGTTTCTTATTTAGTGTTATTAAGATCATTGGATAGAAGAGTCTGAGCGAGAGCGTGTTTGAGTTGTAAGGCGATGGTGTCACCTTTTGCCATTTTTCTTCTTTTCTGTCCATGTAAATATGGTAAGAATGAAGTGGAGAAAGGGAGATGTTAATTTTTCTAGGATTTTTTGCCAAATTTTACACCAAGGTCAGTGATGGCGTAATCATAAATGGATAATCAGTGAAGCAGCTCATAAACGTGCTTGGTATTTCTTTTTTCTTCTCCCTCAGGTTGAGTCTTTTATCCCTTCCCCTCTGCCCCAACTGCATGAAGGTTTTTATGATTTTTCTAGTAAAGTACATCAGTCTTGATTCAATGTACTTTAGCTCTCTTTTCCCTAATTCATTGTCTAGTGTATTGTCTGCCCCAACACAAATCAGTACGGTTGGTTGTTTTATGATCTTGATGTCGAATCTGTTTTTTTAACTTTCAGGTTGCAGCAGCCACTGGTCACACTGTGGTGTTAGTAGACCAGTCAGATGAAATCCTTAAAAAGTCTACAAAAGGAATTGAAGAGAGTTTGAAGAGAGTGACGAAGAAGAAGTTTGCAGATAAGCCTGAGGTTGACATCATCTTTTTCATACCTCTGCGAAAAATTAGAAGAATAAAATTACCATACTGACGTTCTGATGTTGTTTACAGTTGAGCATTATACAGCATGTTAATATACTGGCTTAAAAAGAAAACTTTTTTCCAGTGTGCTGAAGAACTTCGATTTTCTTTTTTGATTCAGGGAGGTTTAAAGATGTCTTACACTATTTTCTTTCCTTTGTAAACTTCAGCTTGAGAAAAAGACTTAAAAAAGCTTAAAACAGATGCTAAATGTGAAATGATGATGAATTATTCATCCTAACTTAATAGCAAGCTATCTTTGAGTGCTTACCTGGGAACGCACCAATTTTTGTCCAAAAGCCAGCAGTAACAAAATTGTCTTAATACCTTAGTGAGTGAGTCTTTTGTTTTTTGGGGTTTTTTTAAGACTTGGGCACAGGATTACTGCAAAGGAAATGAGAGTGCAAGTTTAACTAGCCTGCAGTACCATGAATTAGATGTACAAGATACTTCACATTACTGAGTAAGAGTTACATACAGCAAGTCACTGTGGAGCAGTCCTATTCCTAAGGGTTTTTTGTTGCTATGCCTGTTTCTCTAAATTCTGCAGCAGATTCAATCCTTCCTTTGATGCGTATTGATGTATGGAATACATACTGGTATTGATGAATGATGCAGCAGACAAAGGAGATGAAAAAGGGCTTGTTTGCATGAGAGAGTAGAGAAGAAAAATTATAGCAATACCAAGATAACCAGAGCAATGTAATTTCCCATACATAATTATGGGCAATCTTTTAATCCAAACGAAAATTGTACACACGATGCTTGTACTTTATAGATGACATTATATTCTAGCACGCAGGTATGTTTTTACTGATGGTCTCAGAAACTACTGTTTGACCAACCAGTTGTTCATTGAGACTTTTATGCTAAAGGTTGGACTGCAGCAATTAGTCTTTCTAAATGAATGAATTTGAAGATCTCCTGTTTACTTCAAAGCTGATTTGATTATCTGGGAAAATGTTGTCAGTGAAAGCATTGTATCTGTATATACTTGGAGATTTCTCACTGATCTGGAAATGTGGCAGACTGCCTGAAGTTTTGAGGGCTCCAAAACACATAAGGGGATTTTCATGTGAAAATAAATTAAACCATTGTAAATAGACATTGCAATTTCTTGGAAATGTTTCAGGCTGGTGCTGAGTTCATTGACAAGACCTTGAAGAACATCACAACAAGCACAGATGCAGTAGCAGTGGTCCACAGCACAGATCTGGTGATAGAAGCCATTGTGGAGAACCAGGAAATTAAAAACGAACTCTTCAAGAGGCTGGATAAGTTTGCTCCAGAGTACGTGTATTTTTCCTCTTACATTTTGAGACTTAGACCTTTGTATCTTCTGGTTTTATTCTTACACTGTTAGTTCTGCATTTTATTAGCTGCTTTTTTAAAAAACAGGAGTTTTTCTCTGTTAAACTAACTCCAGACTGTCATGTGGTATGGAATAGTTTTTGTACCAGGTGCATGTGTTACAAACACTTTCAGGTGTATTCACCAGGTTTATTTACCTGTTGCAGTGCTTCAGTTGATGTGCCTCTTGGTATGTTTACTATAAAGTTTGTCCATCTGCTCAGCAAGTTCAAATCCGAATCCAAATGTAAATGGACAACAGTAGAATAAGCTTGACCCGGTACACACGGGGTATGGTTAACATATGTATTCCCTTATTTAAATAGAGAATCGAGATGATAAAATATTTGTTTTCAGTGTGCCTGGCTTGAGCAAGCTTTAAGAAGTCTCAGCCTTTTAGCCAGAAGTCACGGCTCAACAGTGGCTTAAGTGAACCATGTTTACTGTGTATTACAAGAGTTTGGAAATAGCTCATTGCTGGTTATTGTGTGTGAGGTGAAAGTGTAAATAATTTCTTAGCATGCACTCAATCAGTTACTTACAATCCCTGGAACTTTCTTTGAACTATATTTGATAATGGTTGGAAGTTACTGTTGAATTATATCCAAACCCCAAAATGCTGTTAAGCTGAGCGTGCAGTCTCAGAAGCTTGATCCTTGTCATGGATGACTGAGGATCACAAGACCTTGACTGCTTGCAGGTCGAGGTTTGACCTCGTACAGCCAAATCTGGGGGTGTTGCCTGAGAGGTGTTCTGGACTGTCTAACTGAAGAGCCAGGCAAGCTGTGGCCTGAATATAATGTCAGTGGAGAAGAGATGTTGTCATTAGTTAACTGCAGCCTGGGGAGATGTTCACGCTGTCTCATATGGTCAGTAATCAAAATTACCTGGTACTTCTGGAAACAATAAACGATCACAAACAGCAGTGCACAGAGCACAGGATAACTTGCCATTACCCTTTGTCTGACAGACAGAAATAAGTAGGTGCCTCCTGCAATTATGAGGATACCTTGTCATGATTAGATTGTGCTTATTTTGTTAAAACAGACCATTGGTTGCCTCAGTCTTTGTTCATATTCAGCGGAGAAAGCTAATGAGCAAATTGGAGTGTGCTAAATGGCAAACTGTCTAGAACCAGTCAGCAAGGGAAAGTGGGCACATGGACTTGGAGCCTCATTTAATAATACATGTATTTGGAACACCTGAGGCTATTTTTCATAAGATTGAGCTGTTCATAAGCATAGCTGCCTTGAAATGTCAGATTTTACGTTACAGAGTGTTAAAGGTACTGGGAGTTGTTCAGTTCTTGGGACAAAAGGCATGACTTTGCAGGGTTGGGAAAAATGACATTAGACAAGAGGGTTCCTTTTTAAGAGGAAAATTGGCAATTATGATAAACATACAGATAATTTCCACGTAGGGTAAAGAAAAGGGAAGTGAATGGTGAAGAATATGGGTTGCAGTGTAGAAAGAAAAGAAAGAAAAGCTACTAAAGTAGTAAAACATAGTCGCCAAGTGTTTGAAATACTAGCGATTAGATACAAATGGTAATTTGTAATTATGTGAGGAGTATAGAGTTGCAGATCGTGTGAGTAGCTTGGGGAAAGGCAGAAATGTCTAGTGAGTTTTTTAAAGAAAAAGTAATGTCTGTAAGTTTTCAGTGTGATGTCAGCATAGCAGGGCTGTTGAAGTTCTGAGATATTTCTGGGAAAAAAAAACCCAAACCATTGTAAATTGCAATTAGTAAATCTGGTTTATGTCTGGAAAAGGACTTCATATATATCTTACAATTCTTCGGATTTTGTGTATCCTTTGCCGTGTCCTATGCATGACAGTTTTCATCTTTTCTCTGTTTTTTTCCATCAACTCTTTGCTCTGGTGGTAGGTTTGCTCATCACATCTACCATTGATCATTATAAAAAAAAAAAGATAGATTCAAAATTTTTCTTCAGGCTCCAAAGTGCATTTTTGACAGGCAAATGAATGAGTTTCCATAGATGTGTAAATGATTAACAATAAAAAATACCATCAGTTTTCCAGGATTGCTGCAGGAATTACCTGGAATAGATCTGGAAGTTAACAAATATTTTCTAGTTACAGAGTCTTTTTCTTTATCACCTAATATAAGTACTCAATGCACTTACTCAGGAGTCAGAAACTCACACAGCACTTCCAGTGGTTATTTCATCATTGCTGTACTTACACCTCAGCAGAAGGACCGTGACAATCTGCAGGGATATTTCTGGGAATTCTGTGGAGGGTTAGCCAATGGGTGTCTGTTTATGTTTAGTGCACCCATCTCTTACTTTCAGAAAAACAGCTGCCATTTATGCAATAAATCCTTACGTTTCTTTTTTTCCAGGCATACGATATTTGCAAGCAACACTTCATCCTTGCAAATTACGCAGTTGGCTAACTCAACCACCAGGCAGGACCGATTTGCTGGTCTCCATTTCTTCAATCCGGTGCCTATGATGAAGCTTGTGGAGGTAAGTGTATAACATCATCATCATCATAACCACTGCAGCACAGCAGTGCAATTGTTTTCACTGAGAATCCAGTGAGATGAAAGAGCAGATTTCAGTTTGCAGCTCTTCTGATGTGACATAAGCTGCCTCTAGTGATAAGAGGGCAGCGCAGTCTCTGTTGAGGGGCATGTTGGAGAGACAGAGGTTAACTCTTTCAGTATCAAGGCTCCGGAAGTTCTCCACTGAACTGCCAGCAGAGGTGCCCTTTATAGCGATCATTTCAGGCAGACAGGCGAGCTACTGACATCTTAAACATAGTCATCTGATGACTGACAGAGGAATCTGATTGTTACCAGTGTAGAAATCAATAGAAAATTATGTGAGATGAAATCTTACTGCCTTGTGACTTCTGAAACAGTTATGTTTGTTTCAGTGTTCCAGATGATTTTTCTGGAAGTATTAAGAGATTTCCCAGCCTTTAAGGAAGTGTAAAAAGAAGTTTTTACAGTGATTTTTCTGGAAGTATTAAAGAGTATTTCCCAGCATTTAAGGAAGTGTAAAAAGAAGTTTTTACATAACTTTTCAGATGTCTTTTCTAAACATGCTCTCTTTGGCAGTACATGCAATTTCTAATAATACTGCAATGCAGAGCAGAATAAGGAATAATCTGATATAAGAGTTCATGTGAGTCTCTAAAGTAAAGGTCACACTGCAGAAAAAGTGACAGGTCTCTCTCCTTCTCCTTTTTCTCACCTTCCCCCATGATGGCTGACCTTGATCAGCCAGAACTTACAAATTCTTGAGTTAAGTGAAAATAAACTTTGCATTTTGGCCACTCTGTCGCAAAGTTTCGTGTACTTCATGCCCTTTGTATTGGGTCTGGCTGAGATGGAGTTAATTTTCCCCACAGCAGCCCTCATAGTGCTGTGCTGTGTATTGGTAGCTAGAAGGGTGTTGATAACACACCAGTGTGGTGGCTGCCGCTGAGCAGTGCTCCCACAGCATCAAGGCTGTCTCCCCCACTATCTCCCCCCATCACCAGTAGGCTGGGGGTGGTCAAGATCTTGGGAGGGGACATAGTCAGGACAGCTGACTTAATGCATCCCAGCTCCAGTGAAGTAGAGAAAATACTACATGTGACAAAAGACTCAGTTGTGAAGAAAATCAACATGGAAATGTACTACTCAAAAGCTAAGAGGCTGACGCAAATTTGAAAGATAGATTTTACATTTTCTGTAGAGTTAAATGTGTGTTGTGTTTACACTGGGCACAGGGTAGATGTTACATCCCTTTATATAAGGAACTATGTCTGTTAATATGATTCTCTGAGTGATGCCGTCATGTTTCCCAAGGCAATAGAGACTATGTAGCTTTTAAAGTTGTTCTGTTATACAGTAATCTCTAACTGTTATTCTAAAGGGTGGTCTCTTACCATCCATGCTGGCTGAATGGGAAGGTGTTTTAAACACATAATTTAAAAATGCGCAAAATGCTGTATCTTAGATTTCTGTGTCTGTTACATATCTATCCACTGAAGTTGTTTTTTGCAAAACAAATGTTTTGTGAATTTCTGGAATACTGTTCTGGATTACAGTTCAATCATTCCTGTACTGGGAAATGAGAGAGATTCTGCTCATAAGCCTGCTTGTGCTCTCCCTACCTTCCCTCTACCCAGGTCATCAAGACTCCAATGACCAGCCAAAAGACTTTTGAATCGCTTATGGATTTCAGTAAAGCAGTAGGAAAGAGTCCTGTCAGTTGTAAGGTGAGTACATTTTGCTTGTGTAGTGTTCAGAAAGTCTCTTCTTGAATACTGTTAATTTTAATGGGTAGGTTTTAATAGATGCAAGAATTTCCAAGCTGCTTTTTGTCCAGTTTCTCTTCCTATTAAAAGCATTTTGATAAAGACAACACCCACATTTACCACAAATTCCTCAAAGAAGAGTGACTCTAGACATCTTGTCTAGACCAGCAAAACTCACAAGTATCAGGGTTTACAGTTTTTGGTTTTTCTTTTCCAGTCCTGCAGAAGCCTGGACCGTACTTCCTAAGCACACTTTTTCTGAAAGCATTAAGTTGTGGTTTGGGTAGCTCTATGCAGGCTGTTGCCTTGAGCTTCACAGCTCCCAGGAGACATTTGGTCATAAAAAGAAGGGCCTGCAATCCGGTAGTTAGCAGTAATTCAGCGTCTGGATGCTGGACTCTATTCTGGCTGTACTGTTAGATTGCTCTGTGGCCTTAGTTGACTTTTTTCCTGTTTCTGTCACAGTTTTGCAGTATGTAATGTGCAGAATATATGATGAATTATTGTTCTAAATTAACTTGGGTAGAGGGTAATGCAGTGTCCATGTCTGAACCTTTTTTTCCCCTTCCTTTTTTTTTTTTTTAATGCCTGTTTGTAGAAGAAAAGTTGCTTGGAATTCTCTGGATTAAATATTGAGATAAAATGGAATTAACAATAAACATGTGAAACAGTAGTAGTATACAAATAGTACTATATTTGCAAAGCTCTTTGTATTTTTGATATTGATTAAAGCTTGTGTAAAAGAGGTTCTGTATGAGTTTGTTATCTTCTTCTGACAGCATATATCTTATCTTTTCATTGATAGCATTGGTGTTTGCTATTGAAGTGATCCAAACTTTCAAAAGCATGATTTAGCAGTGAGCAGTGGGGCAGAAGTAAAGTATTTAGCCAGGAGTGTTTCTAGCAGTGAACACACAAAAAAACTGTTAGGGAAGAGCTGTTCTTCTCATATCCTTCAGGAAATTCTATCAGCAGAATTTTTCTAAAGAAAAGGCATTTGCCAGCTGGCCACATTAAATTGTTTTAAGATTAACTGAGTTGAGCTTGTAGTAGTCTTACTATTCTCTGTTATGATGAATGTTTAAGTGCCATTCCTTGGTTGTGAAAGTAATCTTTTGTGTTTTAATACTGAGCAGATAAATCAGATGAAAGAGAATACCAGAAGTTGATGATTCAATAAGTGTCTTCATCCACTCGTTTAATTTGTCATGTAATGTTTGAGTGTAGTACTGGTAAAGAATGCTTATTTAGAATCCCTTTTTTTCTTTTCATAGGATACTCCAGGGTTTATTGTAAACCGTCTCTTGGTGCCATATATGGTAGAAGCTGTTCGACTTTTTGAGAGAGGTACTTGTTGGGACATTGACTTCAGGGAATGTTGACATATGACACTGCTAAATGTTATATCCCTTCAGAAAAGCCTTGGGGTTCCCTCAAAACTTTCAGACCTTGAAGGCTGGAAGTGAGCAGTGAGCATCAAATATGACACAGTATGTGTAGCTGGAAAGACCTTGTCTTCGCTTTGAAATGTCAGTGTACACAGAGTCGGAAGGTACTAGCTACTTGTGTGTGAAATTTCTGGTGGTGAAAAATGTTTCTGGTTTGGAGGTGACAAGGTGAGTGTAGTGCCATTGTAAAAATATCCTCTGACGGCTAACCCGGAACCTCTGTCTCTCCATCCCAAGAGACGTTAATGAAGGTGGCTGAAAATCCCATAATGGGACCATTAACAAAGTTCTCCTGAGTTCACTTGTATCAGCCTTATGAAATTAGATTTTCAGATGAGATAAGTACTATAAAACTCAGCGTCACACTACGGTACTGGCATACAAGTGATTTGAGCTCAACTATTGCCCCATAAAACCTCCTGTTCCTCTTCTATGTCCTTTTTTAGACGTAGGTTCTTTGGGAACTGCCATCTCTCAGCTGGTCTCATTTACGTTAATACTGAGGGTAGGTAGAAATAATCATGAATCCTCAAAGAATCACTAAATTTTTCAAAGCATTGATAATTGTTTTGAAAAGGAAACAAGCCAGTAATATAGTGGATGAAGAGGAAATTATGGAGTATAATTGCTTTTATTTCAAGTGCTCTGCTCATAGCTCCGTGCTACTAAGAATGTCATTTGAAACATTTTGTTTTTGAAATCACTGCTTTTTTTCAGATGAAAGCACTCCATTATCGGGATTCCACCAAATATTCTTTAAATATTAAAAAATCTCTTTTACAGCACATGGAAGGGATTATTTTGATCTCCAGAAAAAAAAAATATAAACCAACAGTACTTGTTTATCCATCAACAGATGTACCTAATTACATCTGAAACGGAGAAAAGAGCAAATTCAGTGACTTGAAAGACAAAGGCATGGATGCACCGGGGCATTATTCTCTCAGAAAAAGCCACAATCTTAAATAAAGTGTATGAGTGTTCCAGTGTGTGTTAAAGAGTTGCCTTTGTTAAGTGACGTGTATCGTTATGCATATTTCAGGAGACAATAGAACTTTTAATTAAATGTAGAAGAAGACAGTCACTGAGACTCTATGTTGAAATTTTGCCTAAGCAAAACAATATTTGGATTTAATCTTTATTCTGTTTGTATTTTGTTCAACAGTGTGATATTTCCAAACTTGTTGAAGTTCATTTATGAATTTTTAACTCTAATGAAAGCTGTTTAAAGAGCTGGTTAATGTTTTGAAAAGCCTGATGGCTGTCTTCTGATTCATATTTTCCATTGAATCAGGTTAAATTTTTATCATATCCTTTGCGTTAATTCTCAGAGTAGACACTTGAGCCAGATGTCATCCACATTACTATGAAATGGGGTCTCTTTCCTGGCAACCCCAAGCACCGGAATACCATTTTACTGGGTCAGTCCTTGAGTCTTTATCCAAAATCTCTTTGGGTTAAATGTATAAACTAGAGGTACAAGCCTTGTTTGCACTTGTAAAATTTTTAGTTGTGTTGTAACACAACCGTATACTGTCAGATGGCCAAGTGCGAGATCTGACAAAGTGGGGCAAATCTGATTGATAAAACAATGTGTACATCAGCATCAACTTGAAATGAGCTGAGGATTTACACGTGTTTAAATTTGGGGACCTGAAATTATGTTAGAATTAAGTTGATTTTCCCAGTTTCACAGAAATAAAATGTGGTTTAAAAAAATAAATTGTCAGCTTTAAAGAGTGAAAGGAGATACATAAAAATTATTACCTCATACAGAATTTCCTTTTTATAGGATCTGCAAAGAAGCACCCTGCATTTATCAAAATATGTATTAGAAATAAGCAGTAGAGGTGCATCTGCTTTCATAGTAGTATAAAATACGTATTCCCAGCAAAAGAACGAGGTGAACATTAACTCTGACAATGTGGCAATGCAGGATTTGTATTTCTATAGGCACAGACTGAAGTGGAAGTAACAAATTTCTGATAATTTTTGATTATTTTTTTTAGAATAATTTTTCAATTCACAAATTTACCTGCACCAGCACAGTCTCTTCAGGTCACTCCTATCTGCCGTCTCTGATGCTGATGGACATCCTCCAGTGAGAGCTGCTGTAACGAAGCATGTTCCTCAGTTGCTCCTGCTCCTCTCCCTGTGCCGGTCTTGTCCATCGGCTGGATGTCACTTGCCTTCTGGCTGTTGTAGAGTAAGGGTAGCTCTGTCCTGTGCAGCATTCAAAAGCTGCTGCTGAGCTCATAAAGCTGGAATTGAGGACTTTTCGTACTCACACTGTTCAGCTGCCTCTAAAAGAAGCTCTTGATTATTCATAGTGACCAATTCTTCCTCTGGTCTTTCTGGTCTGTTGGGTACAGTAGCTGTGGCTCCATCAATAGTGTAGAGATCTACATTGAAATGCAAGGGGAAGCTGGAAAAACAGAAAGCAGGCCTGCAAGGCTTTTTTTTTTTTTTTTTTGGTGAGAGATTCAGTTTTATACTCCAGCATGTGTATGCTGACTCTAGTTTTTGTGGCTCTGAAACGTGCAGAGATTTCTGTGAAGAGCTGCACCAGGGTGAAATAAGACCCTGTTAATTATTTAGAAGTGGTGCCAAGTAGATGTGGAATCTTCTCTGTTCATCAAACTGTCAATCTTTTCTCTAGGAGATGCATCAAAGGAAGATATTGATGTTGCTATGAAGCTTGGGGCTGGCTATCCCATGGGCCCATTTGAACTGTTGGACTATGTTGGGTTGGATACCAGTAAATACATTATAGATGGTACTGCATGCTTATTTTCTATTTTTCCCCTTTTTAACTAAATTGTAGATTAACGTTCTAATGAAAATCTGAGTTTAAACGGAATGTTTGTGGCATAGCCTTTTAACTGTTGAGGAGCAGGGAATGAGGATTCAGCTCAGAATGCTGTACGAGTGCAGCGTTTGTACTGTATGCCTGTACCCTGTGTGCGTGCGGACAGAACGGAGGTGGTTTTGCTGACTTCAGCAAGTTCCAGTGGAAAATAATAATAATATTGGTTGAACTTTATATAACTAAAAAGAATCAGTGGGAAGAGAGACATGAACTGGAGGTAAGAAATTCTGATGAAAACCAGCAAATGTTGTGACTCCCTATCCTTTTTCTGCCAGCCATGTTTTCATTCTCAATTAATAGGAAACCCAGTAAATACTTTAGAAGATGCAATATACCATCTCCCTTTCACTTCACATAATGCATGAATGTCAGTACAGTAATAAAAAATGACATAATTGGTGATGGCTTGTTGATGGTTGTTGTGTTATTTTGAATGAGCAGCTTAAATATTCTCCGAGGCAGCATGTCACCTTCAAAATTACATCTTCAGTGAAACCTCTTTTGCTTTTAACCAGTACTGTGGAGTAGTGTTAAAATTGTTCTGACCATGTCTTTTGCAGGTAGAAATTCATCTTGCAATTTCTTTCCACTTGAATTTCATTTCAGCATAGCCTTTGTTTTATTTCCTTGTACTTAACTAATTTTAAAAGTGCTCTGTAATTTATTTTTAAGTATTAAAAATACTCACTCAGGGATATTATAAGGTGTTTAGACTACGCCTAAAGACTAATTGCTAGATTTGCTCATAATCATCAATACTGATCTGTACTTTATGAAGCTGTATTGAAGGCACTCAGAGAGTCTAGAATAAATTCCAAACCTCCTTCGATTTTCTGACATCTTCATATTTTTCTAAGGAGATGTCGATCTCTATTATTTTTGCATATAAACAGAACTGTTACTAATTCTTTCACTTCTTTTCTTCCACCAGGATGGCATTCATTAGAGCCCAACAATCCTCTTTTTGCACCCAGCCCACTCCTGAATAAACTGGTAGAAGAAAAGAAGCTGGGTAGGAAGACTGGAGAAGGATTTTACAAATACAAATGAACTCCAAGCCTCGAGAGGCGTTAAGCTATCTGTGTATGCTATTCAGCGTTTCCTTATTACAGGTGAATTCTGTTTAAACCTTCCTGAGGATGGCACAAGCTGTATTTAGAACATAACCCACCTCTGAACTGACTGCACAAGTTACCTGTTTCTCTGGTGAAAGCTTGATTTGGTAGATTATTTTTTTCTTGTAATTCTGAAAAGCTTTATATGTACAGTGCCTTCATTCAAATGTTGATTTTTCAGGTGCAGGAAAGAATGGCAAGTGAATTATGTATTTGAAGCATTATTATATTAATGGGAAAAATCCTAAAAATAACCGCACTTTCTTAAAAATAAAATTTTCAACAATTCTGTATTGAATGTCCTGGCTTGCAGTTGATGGACTTGGTTGCAGTCCACTGGGTGGCAGTCTCTTTTCACGCTGGCAAACGCAGCTACAGACAGGCAGTAAGTTGCTTTGGTAGGATTTTTCTGAAGTGCAGTGCTGTGTAAATCACAGTGCCTTGAACAATAATTTTTTTCAATGTCATAGTGTTTAAAAAAATAAATAATTCAGTGGAAGGCTGTCACCTGGACAGAAGGTTCCCCCATACAGCATTTAACAGCAGAACTCATGATTTGTGTTGGGATTTTCTGGCATTTTCAATTACCGGTTGAGGGCCTTCTTTTGCTAGGTGCTGTAGAAACATAATGAAGAGGTGGTTTCTATTCTGAAGTGCCTAATTCATAGATTTGTTTTTTATTAACTAAGCTAGGAAGCTGGTGAAAGCTTCTGTATGCTTTCTAGAGTCCTGTAAATTGGCTTTATTTACTGGCTGTTCATTTCAAATGCCATTTTTACATGCTACACTACTACTGCAGTTGAGTATTTGGGGGAATTGAAACTGGAGTCTGTGCCGTGTAAACAAATAGGTGTGTCTGGCTGTTTGAAGCACCTTCTGGTTTGCAACTTTATTTCCTTGGGGCTTAGCAGAGCCTGGATTTGTTCACGGAGAAAGTGCTGCGAATCCTGCCATTACTCCAAATACTGCAGAGCAAGTGGGCATGGGGGTTGGAGTTCTGGTTCAGCTCAGTAGTAGCCATCTTTTACTGTGTGTGTTTTGGATCTGCAAACTGAATGGTTGCATATATTTTTTAATTAAAGAAATATGAATAATTATTTAACTCTGTTGCCTCTTCCTCCCTCCCCCAACATCTAATTCAGATTGCATAGAGAGAAGCCGAGGCTGACAGATGTTCATTTCCTTGCACACAATCACACAAGAAATCTCTGAATAAATAGAGAATAAAAATTGTTGGTTTATTGGATCCCAGTTCCTAATTACAGATCTGATTTTTAGTCACTTGTCCTGAAAGAAGAGGGTCAAAGGAAAGAAATGCTACTGTAGATAGTCCTTTTCATTTACTAATGTATTGTTAAATTGAATTAGTTTTCCTGAAATACAGTCCACTTCTTGCGTCTGAAGTCTGCTTCACCTGAAGGTTCTTAGTGCCTGTCATTCAGTTTAGTGACTTTTAAGTGCTGTAGGATGAAGTTAGCTTCAGAACTACTGTTTTCAGTAGTAATTAAAAATCAGAACATGGATTACTCTTGTGCCTTAAAAAATGCTTTTTTTTTTTTTAAAAAAAACATTTAGGCAGAATTAACTTGATGCTGCTCCCTTTTACTCAGAAGATAATCTTCAATTTGGAAATGCTTAGGTTTATAGCAAGGCATAGGCTATTTAATATTAAATGTGCAAAATATTTTTCACTAGTAAATTTGATATTTTAGAAAAACAAACTTTCTCTAAAACAGTGTTTTCCTTTCAGGAGCTCTAAGAGGTACAGTGTGTATGTATGTGATACATACATGAAAGCTGAAAGAGCCATTTGTAAGTTTGGCTTGGTATTTCAGAAGAGAATTCTTTGTCTCAGCAGCAAATAGGCCATGTGGAGGTACTTTGCTGGTGGGTGGGGATGGTTTATTTTATCAGCATGTGGAGTGCTGTGCCAGGATGAGCAGAGATGAGGTAAAGGGCCAAAACTTCAAATACTCTCCCTTAAATCTAGATCAGAACACGTAGTGGTAATTGAATGACCATTGGAGCAAGGTGAGCCTGTTCTTTTGCTCCTCAGGGAGGAGGCATGGAGGATGTAGCAGTCCCTTCTTGTGTTCAAAATAATGATGAAATTGGTCAGAAGTAGGGATGTTAACTAGTCACTCTGATTTATACAAGAATTTCTACAGCTTTGACAACTTAAAGATATCTAGGAAGCTAAAGAATGAGTAATGAAATACAGGAGTTGTCTGTCTCCACCTTTCCCTCAATAAAGCTTGTTTCCCAGCCCTGGCTGTGCCTGTGACTTAATGCAGAGGTACATGAGCCACCTTCCACTGTGTGTAGTGTTGACGAGGGCAGGGGAATCTCCTGCTAGTCAGTGCCTCAGAGTAGGACACGGTACATTAGACCTGCTCTCACAAGTCAGCTCTTCCTGAATTTATATTAACAGGGGAAAAGACATTGTGGAAAAAAATGAAGGATGGAAGAGAAAATAGGAAGGATGTTTTTTTTCCCTCACTGCCTACTTTAAAAACCTTTAGTCTTTGTTATCCTTTCTGTCAGCAGGCCTCAGATGTAGAGCATTTGCCCCACTTTGGTCAAAGCTTTGAGATGTATGCTTGGCACGGCTTGAGGGCAGCTTGACAGCCAGCAGCTGAGGAGTGGACCTGAGCCCAGCTACTGCAGCTGGGAAGGTGGCTCCAGATTCAGCATCTGGGTCATTGCAGCTGCCAAGCCTGCTCCATCTATGGGCATCCTCGCTGCTGGTGCGGCTGGGGAGAGGACGGGAGCACAGCAAACTTCACAGAGGGAGCTGAGAGCAGAATCTTAATTGGACTGGAGGAGGATGCTCTGTGTGAGTGGCTTGTGGGGTATAAAGTGCAAGAGGTGGCAATAAAGTTTGATCCAAAGAGGAATTAAATGTGTAGAAGTTAAAATTTGGCTTTGCTCTAAAATATTCGCCCTTAATGGCACTAAGCACAGTAATACTTGTATGTGGGTCAATAATAACAGCTGCCTGTTTGTGAAGTGCAGGTGTCCTGAACTTCTAAATCTACATCTGTGTTTGCAAAAGTCATTGAGCTTTTCCAGTATATTACTGTAGGAGATTAATTTTCTTAGAAGATACAGATATCAGCTTGCAGTATGGATTTGAAACTAGAATGAAGAGTGGAGATTGTTGCTTCCTCCTTCCTTCACTGTGAGGACTTGCAGGACATCACCTTGGTAGGAATTTAGCTGGGAGAACAACATTGCCAAAGAATTTAATGTATGTTAATCGTCTGTTGATGAAGTTTAGCCCCTGGTAATGAGTAGCTGCTTGGAAGTGAATAGCCCAGCTCTGTCCAGCTGGCAGTTCTGTGAACCTGTGCCTTGTTTTACACAGTAGGAAGAAGGGCTTACTGAGCAACTGCATAAAACAACTTGAAAAACTATCTTGAAAAGAGGTATTTCCAGTTTGCTTGCTCCAAAGATTGTCTTGGTGTGAAAAGTCTCGTGTGTTCCTGACTTTGTGCTAGGCTTTGGCCAGTAAAGTCAGCAAATGAGTTAGGTGTGACCTACCTCGATGTGATGTATTCCGGTGGTGAGAAAGGTAGGTGCTAGAGGATGTAGGTGCTAGCAGGCAATCTCTGTTGTGTTATCTGTACTTTAATTGCAGTGCAGCACTGAGGTCTGAAATCCCTGGGGACAGTGCTATTGGTTGTGTGCAGTGCAGCAGCAGAAAGGCGATGGGATTGCATTGTTCTTTAGAGAGGAAAAAAAAAAAAAAAGCATGGTCAGCTATAAGAAAGCATGTGCTGTTTCTGCTGCTGCTTTGGGAAGGCACTTCTGATTTTTTTGTTGTTTAATGAAAAATTCTTCTTGAAGAGACATTGAAGAACTTGTATGAAACTACAGATGCTTGCTGTTCTCTGGTGAATTCTTTGTGTAAGCACCCACTGTGTAGCATCATGAGATATAAAATGTTTTCCATGTCTCAGAGTATTGCTCTTCAAGCCTGTGTGCATTTTGATAGAAATATAGCTGGTGGCTATTGCAAATGTTCATGCTAATAATTTTTATTAAGCTATCAACACATAATTGTCAAAGTTTAATGCATGCTTGTTATTTTTACATCCAGAGAAAGCCACTTTACAGTACCAAGTGGCTTTACAGGTGTAGGAAAAACAGAAGCAGATTTTGTTTGTAGTGACCAACTTTCCCCAAAAATTTACTGCTGACAGTTTTGGAGTTAATTTTTTCAAGAGAGGCAGTAGTCATCTTGCACCTGTAGCTATGGTGCTACGTTCTTACTTTTCTAACTGCTACCACAGCAGTGACCCACATCTCAGTATTTTTATTCACTATAGTTTGCAACCACGTGAGCAATTATAAAACTGACCTGAATGATTCCTCGTGCTTTTTGGAAGAGCTGAGACCAGGAGCAAAAGCAGATGCTATCATTCTTTTGAGAGATAATCTTTTCATGTTATGTGTTCCTTCGGTAGCTTTTCCTGTTCACAGCCAGAGGGAAGTGCTTCTGCTGAATTCTGTTACAGAAGGGTTAAGTAGAGCCACAGTCTGGTAACTGTAAAGATGATTTGTAGAATGATCTGTCTTGAATTTTATGATCTTCTCAAAAGTTCACGTTAAAACCGAAATCCCTTTTTATGTACCATTTGCTACCCAGTATAAATGCAGTGCTATGCAGAGTCTTAAATGTATATGATCACAGAACAGTATGTAATGAGGTCTGGGGTTGTTACTGATAATATATTAATGTGATTTAGGTTTTTATGTCCATGGAGCAGCTTTGCACTTGTTCGATTCACTCTTTATTCCCTTAGAGGTTTTCTGTAAGTTGCAAGTAGCTCACAGCAATGCGTTCTTTGCAGAAGAACTAGCACCATGAAGCTCTGATGCTGGCTGGACGTTTTAGTTGCTTCTGGTGTAGGAATAGTACAAAACACCAAACCTGGATATTAAAGGAGCCATTTCTTTTGTCATGTGGTGGCATGAGGCATCACAGTGAGGCGTAAAGCCAAGTTTTGTTTCCAGCCTTGGGTCAGATGCTGTGTGTTGGCCAGGGCACAGGAGGATATTTTAGCACAAGGCTTTTGCTTGGCGAGCACTGAGGAACTTGTCGCTTACTTTGGCTATTTCATGCTGCCAGATAACAGGATTTTGTCCTAGCCTGTTGTTCGCTGCCGCTTTGCTTGGTGCATCTCTGTCCTGCCTGGTAACAGCTTCTTCTATTCTGGTCCCGTTTTTCTGCCAGCAGCCACTTCTAGGGTGGCTTTCTGTAAATGGACAAACCCTTACAGTATGTGCT